TCTTAATGGATATGGTGGGGTTAAATTATTTGTTGTTATATAGTAGCCCTAAAAAGTAGTAGGACTGGCCGTCTTTCTCTTTCCGGTGGTGAATTTTAGCCATTAAATAAAGAGGATTTAGGGGAAGAAACTTTCAACATTATAGGTAAAACTTGCTTTAAATAAGGAATTATAAGCTTGGCCAATCCATAAGGATTTTGTACCTAGTAGGAAGCTGAATAGGTCAATTTATCCTCCTTGAACGACTGAATTACAACTAACCTAACAAAGTGCCCGTTTTGGAGGGATGAAGCGCAGCGGCTTCTGGCTGTACCTGTGTGCCATGGTTTTCAAAATCAGATCGGATCGGATGGTTGGACCAGAAAAACTAGAAACTGGTTAGGTGATCGGTTTTGTTTTTTCCTAAAATTGGATTTTCTCCAAAAATCGTTGATTTTGGTCAATAAACCGCTGATCTGGGCGGTTAATTGTTCAAACCGTTCAAACGGTTTTGACCGTTTTTTATTTTTTTTATTTTTTTGTCAGAATGGGCCTACCATTCAGTTCGAATGGTTGGAGCATTTGACCCGATAACTGGACCCCTGACTGGTTCGGTTTCTATGTCGGTTTTAAAAACCATGATGTGTGCCCTATAAGGTATGTTTGGTGAAAAAAATCCAAAGAGTCAAATTGGCTGTTGATTTTCTTTTCTATTTATCAATAAAAAGGCTGTTGATCAGGGTCGGTTTATAAAACATTGGGCTGAAGCAAATAGTTTGACAACTGGCCAATCAATAGGAACTGTTTTGCAATTTGAAAAGAAAAATAAAATAAAAAATAGCTAAAAACCATTGTCTAGATCAAACAGATCAATGGTTTGACAACTCGGATCAGAAAAATAAAAAAAATGGCCAAAAACTGTTGTCCAGGACGAACAAATCAAGGGTTTGACAACTTGGGTCAGCAGGTCGCTGACCAAATCAATAGCTTATTTGGCAAGATTCCGGTTCAGGGATGGAATGAAACCGGTTGTTTACAGTTTCTAGGCCAAATGATCCAACCATACATGTCAGTGAAGTTTGAAAACCATGCTTCACCCTCTTGAATATCTTATTCGGAGCGCCTTATCAAGATTATTCCACCTCTCAGAATTCCTGTGCATCTAGTCTAGTTGTCAATTACAAACATAGCTTATCTTATTTATGCAGCTGAATCAACTTGGCTAAACCAAAGCTTATCTTCAGCTCAGCCCTTTCAAACGGACCCAAAAAGATCTAGTTCAGCTTAATTTAAAACATTTAAAATATATAGAAAAAATTATTTCTGCTGTCATTCTTCTGAAACTTGCTTCTTATTCCAATATTATTATTATTTTTTTATTTTTATTAATTCATGGATAAATTATTACTCTGGTAGAACTCTTCTATTCTATGCCAAACAGATCTAGTGGGACCCAATTATGAAAAAGGGCAAAGAAAACCGTTGTTTTGAAGAATTCCCATTTTGATTTGACAACAAAAGTGTTGAAGTATTATTTGGGCATTAACTTACCATGGATGAGTTTGCTTTTGTCAAAGGAAAAACAACTACCACATCAATATAAAATTCAAAATACTCCACGTGTTTTTCTCTCCACCCTTTATTCATGTTGCACCTTCTATAGCAAAAGTCGTCCTTGGGAACTGAAGTGCCCAACTTGATTCTTTCTTTATATTTGCATGATCAAGGACTAGTATCTGCTCATATTTTAACTGAAAAATAAACAATATATAGAAGGACAAATTAGAAATTACATGAACCCATAAAAAGGTGAATATGTAATAATTGAAAGGTTTAATAATGCATTAAACTGTCATAATCACATTTTCTTTTGTCAATAGGTGTTATAATCACTTTTTTCAAAAGCATGCATCATTTTTTATACAGTGTTGCATGAATTCATGTCTGTGGGTGGTAGATGCTTCGGACGGTTCGCAACATTAAAAATAAATAAATAAATAAAGCATATAGAGTGGTGGATGGAACTTGGAAGTAAGAAAGAAAAATATGTTGGGATAGTACTTCTGGAAAAGAAGTAGAAATGAAAATTTTTCAATGGTAAAAATTACAAGCCGATTCAAAAATGTCATCCATCTTGTAGATTAAACTGTTGATTTGTATAAAGAAATGTCACATAGAAATATCCTAATTAAGAATCCATGGAGTGAGTGTTCAACTCTAATAATCAAATCCCATATGGGGGGGGGATTCATCAGCCAATCAGGAGAGTCCATGTTACACTGATTTGGTAAATAGACAAGAAACCCTAGTTATGGTTCTCAGTAGAATAAACATAATGATTTTAAAAGCCCCTCTTTTGGGGAAGAATGGAAAAGAGAAAATTTTGGCCGTTTTCATGCAAATGATACCTTAGAGTAATTGCAGTCAATATTTTTTCAATTAAAAAGACAAATAAAGGACTGTGACTGTATGGAGTAATGTATCATGTGTAAGAGGCTCCCAAACAGCAGTCCACTTTCTTTGTTTTTTGGGCAAACAGCCAAAGCTTTCTCCAAGAAGTGAAGTTATCAGAATCAGTGAAGAATAGAATTCAGGGATAAAGGAATCAGATGTATTGCAATAAAGGAAGATCTCTTGCTGGAAAATCCAAATTTGATTCACTCATATTCAGATTTGAATCAAATGCTATCCGCGAGATGAGGGATGGTTCAAGTGGTATGTTAGCTATGTTTGTTCCAATAGAGATGGCTAGGGGTTATTGATGTTGTTCGAGCTGATCTTTTTGCCGGAATCTAGGTAGATCGGTGCGATTTGTTGTGGCGTCGCACGCATGGGATCAGATTGGAGAGTCTGGTCTTCTTGATGACTGTCTTTCTTGGTCAGACCGAGCCCTATGCCTGTCTAAGTGGCACTTTTTGGGGCCTCGGGGCGAGGATCAGCCATGGTATGTGCTTGGACAACAGGGGAATGGTTTGAGGAACCTGTGCTGGCTGTCCCAGTGTCTACATCATTGCAAAAATCTGGTTGACCTTCTGTTGCATCGCCTAGAACTGCGCGGGAGTCAACCATGGCTTGTTGGGGCTCCCGAGGTGGAGAGCTACGATGAGAACGAGATCCCTGAGATGGAGATCTGGTTGTTGAGCGGTCGGATGTGTTTCTTGACATGGTTCTTGATTGCACAGAAGAATATTTGAGAATGACTTTTCGTACATTTCCCACAGAAGACGCCAATATGATGTTGTCCGATCGGAGGTGTTCCGAATCAAGATTGTAGTCAGATAGTCTTGGCAACTAGTGAAGTCGAGGTGAAAGGACGAAGCCAAGCACTAAAATCAATATATGAAACCAAGGAAGAGAATCAGAGGCCTGAGGAATTGTTCCCCATGTAGGCACTCTGACTCTCAAGTCAGTAATGAAAGGGATGGGTAGTTGGGCCAAGCAGATGAGAATAATGTCAGTCCGAGCAGAAACAAAGTAAAAGTATGGAGTTTGAAGAGTCAAAAGTCTCTTACCTTGAGCGGGAGTTACCTATTTATAACCGAAGATCCGTGTCTTATTCGAATGAGGGTTCCGGGGTTGTCGGGATGAGATTACCCACCGAAGTCTTTGGGATAAGTCCTTATCCTTGGTGGAGCTGCTCTCCTTATCCGTACGGGTCTCCTCCTGCAGTGAATTTTGATTCATATCAAAATCGAATCAAATTGAGATGTTGAATATGTGAATGGATTCCGGAACCCCAAGAGAATCTCCCCTATTCCCTTCACTATTTCCTACCTACAAAACACTTATCTCCGTGCATTGAGAATATCTCTCCCTATGCATAATAACATGTAAAAGCATGAGATGTTCCCCATATGTGACTACGATCACATATGGATAGAGATCCAAACTCGTAATTACACTTCCATAGCTGTTTTAAATAAGCATTTGTTCATATGGACACTTTTCTTCTCTTAGGCAGCCTATCTTTTATTAAATTATGAATCATATGCAATAAATAAATATATAATGATAGTGATATCTCAAGATGTAGACATCCCCATCAGAAGTTGACGGACAAACCAAATTCTGGGTTGGATCCACTTTCAACTAGTCAAATTCAAATTCAGGCTTGATTGACGCCCAAATTTTGATCTAATTGGGACCCAACAGCCAGTCTTGATCGCATAGCCTATTCGGTTTTTATCAAGTAATATTTTGAGAGGCAACGAGCGAGAAAACTAGTACACCAAGCATAAAAAGGAAAAACGAGTGGTGTTTGTAATGAACAAGATCCCACTGAAAATTATTGAATCTGGAGTAAAGAATAAGAGTGCAAAGGCACTGAAAGCAGTGGCCAGTGGTCCTATTATATGGCAGCACGCGAGATCCTCAATACAAGCCCATGAAGCAAAGCTTTCCTTCAGCTTTATTCAACTCAATGGCTAAAATGCTTGACATAATGGATCACAATCATAAGGCCGCATGCTCAGTTCCGGCCGCCCAACCCTGCCACACAAATGTTTGCCTTTGATAGGCAGCTCCGCCCAGTCAAGCTTTTTACATCCACAACCAAGGTTTAAAATATAAGATTTTTAAGAGAAGAAATTAGGTCAATGAAATTGTGGCTCCCACCAATTTACCTATGTAAGATCTACGGTAAAATTAATTTTTTCTAGGAATCACATATCCGAGTAATTCAACGTCCCACAAGCATGTGCTGTAGGACATTGTGGGGGGCAATCTTGTGGGGCTGATTTGAACTCGATACACTTACCCAGATAAATTGAAAAAAAAAACATGAATAATTACACTTACCTTTCAGAGAGCAAAAGTGTTAACTGTGAAGGAATCCCTGCACAAAGCAATGCCAAGGGATCAAGCCACGCACACATAATGGTCCCCAAGACCCCGATTGCCAAAAGGGAAAAATCCTTTTCTTTCCTTTTCCCTTATCTCCCGTCTGAGTCTCTCTTCTTTATTGTAGTTTGTGTTGGTAGAGTCAAATTATGAATCAAACAACAGAAGATCACAACCCCAAATCAGTAGAAACTCTTGCAACATTGCTGACTCCATTTCGGAAAACTTAGGTACCTTGCTTACATACATACATTGATAGTTTGATACATAGATATCTGTTTACACATTGTTAGGTTAACTAAATACCTATTTCTTGGACTAATTTTCATATACAAATTCAACGCTATTTAATATAATGGAATTCGCTCAGCTCTGACTCCGACACTTCAGTTGTCGTGAGCGGCGAGCGCGAAGAGAAGGGATCCGACCTCCGGCAGCTTCTAACATGAAGATTCCGTCGACACTGTGGCGGATGAAGTTCTGGGGGATACTTGCTTGATCATGACTGTGGGGAAGAGACTGGTTTTTCTCCTCTCGTGTTCCTTTATTAACTCTCCCGCACACCAGTCCAGCTTCTCTGAGTTTGTGTTCTCGATGATCTTCTTCCCTCGGAAGAGTATCGATTCCACATTCTTTTGTGTCAGCATCTTCTCCGCAATGCCCATGAAGTGTTTTCCGTCGCTCGATTTTGGGTGCTTTCCGGCGTCAAATCCGGTCGCCTGAATGCGAACGTAGTTGCTTGCTCTGCTGGGACCGAACGCCATTGAAACAGCTTGATCAACCTGTTAAGACAGAAGGAGAAAAGAACATGATTAGAGATAATTAAGGCCATGGAATCGGAGTTAATTACAGTTTTGAACTTTTTTTATGACCATGACCCACCACTTCCAAGAATGTCCTTGAATTGAAAATGTACAGTTATTCAAGGGCATTTTGGTAGTTTCGTAGATCAACCAACCGCCGGAAAATTTTAAAAAATGCAAAGCAAACACAAAGTACAGCTACTAACGAGTGTCGGCATTGGCTTACCATGTCGGAAGCTCCCTCTCCGGCGATCCTGACGAACTCGGCCGACGACGGGGTCACATTCCGGCAACCGGAATCTGACTCCCCATTCCCCAGAGACACGACGAACAAGTCCTCCACCCCGTCACAGAACGGGAACTCCTGCTTGTTATTCAGCACGTGCGTGATCGCCGCGGCCGTCGGATTATTCATCGCGATTCCACCGTCAACGGCCATAATTCTCGTTCTCTGATCGATTGACTTCATCTCCACAGCTCCGACCAGTGAGGGATCTGCCGACGTGGCAATGCAGACCTCCCTCATCTTGAAATCGTATCCGTCCGTTTCCAAAGCATCCGCGCGGGAAAACAAGAAAGGCGCGCGAGTTGAGAGGTCGAAACACGGGATCAAAACTGGCTTCAGCGTGTCTTTCAGAGTAGATTCCCCGAACGTCCGACGGAACAGTTTCTCCGCCTTGGAGGGGCAGAATAAACGCCGGAAAATCCCCGACGGCGATGAGGGGCTCAATTTCCGCCTATTCTCCACAAGAAACTGCAGCGCTTCGTCTGCCGAAAAAATCGGGCGCCCTTCTTTTCCCCTAGTGAAGAGCAGAGCAGCCAGAATTCCCCCAACGCCAGAGCCAGCAGCGACATCAAAGTAATCGGCAATTCGAGAATCAGCATTGCCAGATTTCCGCCGGAGGAAAGCCTCGAGGTGGGCGAGGGATTTTGCGGCGAGGATGCCGTCGGTGGCACCGGCGCCGTCGATAGAGAGAATTCTAACTTTTCCGGCGGCATTTTTGAGAGACTTTAAGTCACCGGTGAGGGTGTCAAGGGGGTTTTCGGGTTTACCAGAGACTAAAAGCTTGGGGTCGTCGTATCCGAAGAGGAACTTGGCTTCAAGTATGGAGAAGATCTCGTAGGTGAGTTTGTCTACACCGAAGCCTGTGTCCAGCATTGGAGAAGTTGCCATTGATTTCGAGTAGAGTTTCAGACAGACAGACAGAGAATTTGTTTCAGATAGGAGAGAGAGAGAGAGAGAGAGATTGAAGGGGCTGACGAAGATGTAGAGGGCACCGAGTGTTTATATAGCAAGAGGTTCCGTTTCATGTTTGAAGAAGATGCGCAGGTTAGCGAGGTTGGCGATTAATCGGCCAAGTGGATAAAGGTTACTTTATCGTACTTCGAGGAGCACGGATGAAAATTACGGAAACTACCCTCTCGTGAGGAGGGAGAGGGAAAAAGATTTGACTGGAGTCCGGAGTGGAGAGTGTGGTGTGTTGACTCACCGACTTTGCCCGTTGTCAGCTGGCGCTTTCGTGTTTATAGCTGTGTGATAAGATGTGCGATCGTACGAAGAAAGTACTCAGGAGAGATTTTTTGGAGAGGATTTGTGTGGTTGATCTTGCAGATGGTGAGAGTGATCAACGGTGATGGGGTTGGGTTGTGTGGGTCCCAGGAGTAGATCTGGGGTAGGGGTGGGATGTGAGTAGGAATGGGGTTGAGTGTTTGTGATTTAACGAACATCGGAGGTTTTGCTTTTTATTTTCAACCGTTGCTGGTAACTTTCCGGTGAGAAGAGAAATCAGCAAACATGTGGCTTCCAAGCATCTGGGGCCTACCGTTCGTAGTACTACGTGCTGTGAGAGTGTCCACGCTAAAATCTTTATCGGACCAAATTTATATTGCTTGCTTTGATTTTTTTTTCTCCAATTCTATATATATAGAGAGAGAGATATTGTGAATTATTCTTTTTTATTATTAAAATTATTTTAAATTAAGTTGGATTTTAGATTTAGATAAATTGATTATTTTCATTTATGGTATATGTTTTTAGATTCATTGTATATTGTATAATTACTTGAATCAAATATCCGGATATATAAATGAATTGAATATGAATCTATGTTGTATATATTTGTCAAATATGAATTCAGATCTCTCAAATTCTTATTAGATTGAATTAAGATATACCTCCTATCTGAATTTGATCCAATTGTAAGGAATTGGCCTCACTCAGTTAGGGATGGTTAAATTGGTTCGATATAAACATGAAATTGAAAATCTTCTCTCTAAAAAAACACAATTAAAAAACTTCCAATAAAATGTTATAATTTAAACATTAAAACTAATGACATCGGTAGTCATCAATAAGTTACAATTGAAAATGAGCAACTCGGAAGAGGTTAGAGCGCCCGGGGTAAATTCTGAGCTTGTAGCTCTGGCGATCATGTCAGTATCAAGAAGAGAATGTTCTTAACTATCTCAAAGGTGTCTTGCTGCAATTAGAGTTGTAAATCGGGTCATGCTGCCTGCAGCCCAGCATGAAATTGAGCCTGACTGGCACGGCCCAATACAATAATATGCGGGATGTGCCAAGCACGGTACGATGGAATGGGCTGTGTTGGGCCTAGGATTTCGGGTCTATGGGCTGGCACAACACCGCACGACTGAGCAAGCTATGTCACCCGCATGCCGACACACACACACACACACACACACACATATATATATATATATATATATATATATATATATAAACTTGGCCCAGTTCAATTTAAGTATACTATTTTATTTAATTATTGTATACATCAAAAATCATAAAAAATAAAATTTTAAACATTTTTTCAATTTTTTTAAATGGACCTCTCATAGCTTGGCCCAGTTCGTGGCTTGGCCTAACCCAAGGCTCGGTCCACAAATCAGCCTGACCCACAGTACGACACGGGCCCATGTTGGCTCGGCTGTGGGCTGTGGCAAGCTAACCCCCCAAATTATCCCAGGGGAGGAAGGCACAGTCCATGGGCAGGCACTACCCGATTTATACCTCTACGTGCAATAAATGTGTAGAATGAATGCCCACTTGAGATTTGAGGTTTACCTTTATATAAACTAGTGGGGACATATGCAATGCACGAGATTTATTAAGTTAAATTTAAACAATAGAAACACATAAGAGTATATAATTATTTTATATAATAATTAATATCATTTATATTTTATATACTACTTTTAATAATTTTTTTAATACAAAAATGACAACAATTAATTTTAGATATGGTTGTTTATCAAATTTAGTGATGGCAATTTACCCCATTTCCTCGATCCTTATGGGGATTTGCCCTGAATGGGGTGGGGATGGGATGATTTTCCCCCTACGGCGACAAAGATGGGGAAATTTTCATCCCTATTGGCGGGGATGGGGAGAGCACTCCTTGCCTTATGGGGACCCTGATCCCCGTTCCATGGGATCCCCACTAATATATATGTATATATACACATACGTTTATATATGTATATATGTATAAATACACCTATATGTTAATATTTAAAAAAGACATGGTTGAATATGTTTGAATCTTTTCTAATAGGATTGTAAATTTTAATTATTTTTATTTTTAAATAAAATAAAAAACAAAAACATAATGGTTGACATTATAAAGAATCACGGGGAGTGGGGATCCCCGTAGAGACGAGGATAACTTTGTCCCCATTAGCGGAGGTGGGGATGGGGAGAGGCTCCTCGTTCCTACCCCGTTGCCATTCCTAATCAAACTAATGAAATTAACCAACCCAATTTCTAGTATTTCCAATTGACTTGGTTCAACAATTTCCTAACCTGACTGGATTGGATCAGTTTTGCTTTGGCCATTTGTAAACTGACCAAAATCGAACAACCTGACCATAGATATATATTAATATTTTATATTTTAAATATATTTTTTAATATGAGAAAGTGGGAAATTCCAATATTTTGTAGGATAAAATATTTTATATCATAAATTTATTTTTCAAATTTATTTGTAATTTTTTTTTAATTTAAACTTAACTTTTAAATTTAATTTTATGAGTTTAAATCTTTTGAACTGACCGACTAAACTAAAAATTGACCCAAATCAATATAACCCGAGTAACCAATTCCCCAATCTTACCAGGTCGATTTGGTTACCAAATAACCCACAACTGAACTAAACCAACCCATGAACAATAGTTTAATCTCCAATAACTATAAAAAATTTATAGCAAAACTACACAACAAATTAAATTTAAAAATCTAAATAACAGTAATTTATACTCCAATAATTATTGAAAATTTTCTATTAAATAACAAAACAAAAATAGATTTATACATAATTATTGAAAATATATTTATCACAAAAAACAATAAATAATTAATTAAATACAATAAATATTAATTTTAGTACATATAAATATATAATAAGTATAAATTAAGTTTTTAAAATTATCATTAATAAACATTACTTTTTTGAAAGTTATTTTCTAGAATTATTAATTAGTATTAATGAAATTAGTATTTACAATATTAGTTATTTATTTAAATAATATCATTATTTAAATTTTAAATTATTAATTACTTGTTGAATTTAATAATCCATAAAATTATAGTACTATTAATACATAATTTTGTTATTTTAACTATTCAAAATCTAGTTATGTTAACTAAATATTTAAAATCATAATCTATTTATTATAATTGAAAGTTATTCAGTAACTATTTAAAATATATTATTAATTGATTTAAAATATTAATTTTAATATTTTATTATTTAAGATATTTAGTTATTGAAATATTTAAACAATATTTCATTTTTTAATATAGAAAATCATAATTTATATTGTTTGTATATAATTTCGTGATGAACTTTGTAAAAAATATATAATTGTTAATAATATGAATATTATTAAATCGATTATAATTATTTTTTGTCTTTTTAATAAAATTTTAAAGTTATTATATAATTTTGTTAGAATATTTAAATATTCTTAAATTTTTTAATTCAAACTTTCTTTAGATAGATGTAGATAAAAAGTGGGGGAGAAGATAAATAAGAATTAGAGATAATTTAAGAGAGAAGCTCTCTACTAAATTAGAGATAACTTAGGAGAAAGTTGGCGGTAGTGGGGGAGGTTGTTTAAGAGAAATTGTAGGATATTAGATTATTTAGGTTATTGGAATGTGTGTGGGGGGGAGGAGAGAGAGAGTGATATTTTAGGAAGATTTTTTTTGGGAAAGTAGAGTTTCTAATTGGTAGTTTCTAGATTTCCTTCTCTCTCTCTCTCTTTATATATATATATATCGATGCATGGTGGTAATCCGTGGGACATCTGTTAGAGAAGTTCAACACATCTCAGTGCATGTGGGAGAGGTCTAAGTCCCACCTTCTGTTATGGCTTGTGAAGTGGATAGTGGTTTTGTCGAGTGGCCATTGTCATCACCAAGGTTCAAAGTATCGAAAAACGCCAAGTGTATCGGAAAGGCAATTTATATAATATATTCAAAAATAGTTATTAAAGAAGAAATTTCAATTGCTTTGTGGATATGATAGATCATCCATAGATTATAATATATTCAATCATTGTGATCAAATGATAAAATATAATTAATTAATTAATTTGTAATTCTAAAAGTAAAAAATAAAAAAAAATTATTAAAGAAGAAATTTCAATTGGTTAGTGGATATTATAGATCATCCATAAAATATAAATATATTAAATTGTTGTGATCAAATGATAAAATGTAATTAATTATTATTTATTTTTAATTCTAAAAATATAAAAAAAAATAAAAAAATTTAAAGAAGAAATTTCAATTCCTCTATGGATATGATTGATAAATCCATAGATCTAAAACATATTTAGTCTTTATGGGCAGAGAAAAAAGTACATTTTCAATTTTTTTGTTAATTTATAATTTCCCTAAATATCTTCATGAAATTTCTATAAATCTACTGATAACACAAAAGAAATTTTATGATTTTGAATGTATGAAATGTAGATTAACATAAATTTAACATTCAAGAAAAAAATAAATCACAAGATATTATAAAAAACTGAAAATATTTACCTATTTTTGTCATATTTTTTCAAAATTTGAAAAATCTTTAAAAAAATTAACGATTCACACTTGTTTCTTGCAATTTTTTTGCAAATCTAGCACTCTAGGAATGAGGTTTGGAGTTTTAGAGTCATTTGGAGGTGAAAGAAGGCTTATTTTAGGGAAAAGAAGCTTGCTTTCCCCCTTTTTTTCAGTTTTTGGCCGTATCTTT